CATCGACGTTGCAAAAGCAGCTGAAGCGGGGGTATGTTCATCTTATTCCCTAAACGTCGCATTCAAAATCAAAAGGCCCGCGAGGGGCAACAGCTCACCCTGCAGCGCGCATGCCCAGAGTGCATCCTCTAGTCTGCCTTCTTTTTCGCATCCATCGGCGAAACGTCTCGGACCAGCTGTTCTCTATGAGAGCCCCACGCGGCTAGGCAGCGCGCAAGGATGATGGCGTGCGTGACGAGGAGCAGCAGGCTAGCTGACCACGTCCTTACAAAAGTATCCAAGGCTCTGAACTCTAGCAGATACGCTTGAGAAAGCCAGATTGCCTGCGACGCACAAGTCCGAGTCAGCATGCACCCATGCCGCATGGATCTCGCTCGCCAAAGTTGCTCACCTGCGCTCCCACCCATGCGGCTAGCAGAATCCACGGCTCTCTTGGAGACGCAAATTTGAGCGTAGGTGCGACGATGGGAATGAACCACAAAAACCACATGTAGTACTGTCATCGTAGACCGCATCAGGGTCAGCGGTACGTGCTGCCCGAGCCGTCTTGCCGCCTCCACTCACCTGGCTGGTAGAAACCTTGTTGAAAGCCACAAACGCGAGGGTCTGAGCCGCACAAGCCGCCGCAAGGTCTCTCGAACCCAGTGTCCAGCCGATTGCAATCACGAGCACGAGCTGAGGTCCAAATCCAGCCAATGCACCCAGCAGCGTATCGACAGAAGTACTTTGGGTTGTGGAAAGGATGCCGCTGGTAGTACCGAGATAAGCGGGCAGAAATGTGGGCGAGAAGTTGTGCCGAACGTCCAGCCTGGTCAGGTGATAGAAGAATGAAGCTTCGAGGTAAGGAGGTCCCCATCTAAAGCACGAGAAGCGCATCAGGAACGCGCCGTTCAGTGAGCTCATTTCACTAGAATCTGCATCACCGAGAGTGACACGATGCATATACTCACAGAAGCCAGCACATGAGACCCGTCACAGCGAAGGTGTACCCTGCAACAACTGCGTACCGCAAAGCAGCCGCCCATCGGTGTGGTTTGCCAGTGGCCAGGAGGTGTGCCAATGTCGGTACCGCATAAATTGCAGGGTAGAGCTTGAGATGCACAGCCATCGCGAGCAGGACTGGCGACAGCAATGGTGTCCCCCATAGCGTATGAGATGGCTCTTCGACCCCCTTGAATGCAGCTAAGCCGATCGAAGAGCTGGACAGCTCCAGAGGAGCACCCGCGTCTACCGCTGCGACGGTGGTGCGAGCTGCGAGCGCTTCTGCGGCCTTTTCTGCAAATTCTTTCGACACTTCGTGCCTCCTCTTGACCACCTCCATCTCCGCTTCGGCTTCCGCCTCCGTCTCTGACGGTGCTTCGCTGATGGGCGTAAGGGGCAGTGCTCCTTTCTGAGGCGTCGGCAATGGAAGTGTAGGAGCTGGCGTGGCGTACAAAGTCGAGCTGAGGAATCCAAGGACGACGAGGCCGATGAGAGATTCTGCACTGCCTCGAGTCGCTATTTGTGCCGGAAAAGGATTGAGCAACCATAGAGCGGGTACCCAGCCAGTGCTGCCTTCCTTGCTAGCCGGAGGTGGAGTGGAGGTGATGGTCGTTCTGAACTTCTCCAAGGCGTGCCTTCTCTTGGCCGACAGATCCAGCACTGTCCACATGAGCACTGCGCACAAGAGATCCGCAACGACGAACAACAACCTCGGTCCATACTCTGCCAGCGCCGTCGGAAGTAATTGAGTGGGTGCAAGAAGCACTGCCAGCAGCGGTGTGTACCTGAATGTCTT